TGCAATGTGTTGCTCAAGAACAAATTCTCAGACTGAGTAAAAAGCAAAAAAAAGCTGTCACAGAATTTTTTGCTTATTGTACTCTGAAAGCATTTCTTGATCTGAAAGGTTTTCAAGTTTCTTAATTTGAAAGAAAGTCTCTGGAAGATGACATCTGTGTTGATTTTTTTTTTTTAACTTGAATAAGATTTGTTGTATCCCTAAATCCATCTTTCGTTTTCCTGAGTACCAGACGCCTATTCAACTAGGCATTTACGTATTGTAACCCATTATGTGATGACCACAAATTATACTAAATAGTCTTAGACCAAGTTACATCTCATGTCTGATTCAAAGCCATTTTTGTCTGCTGAAACTTCTTGGGTTGTGGGTAAAACACTTACCCTAAAAAAATGGCACCTCGCAGTGATTCTGGTAACAGACTAGTATAAGCTGCTTTTATTTACTGACGAGGACTGAAAATTCCCCTGATGGTACAGAAGTGGCTTGGTGTGTTATCATTACATCTATGCATCTAAAAGTTTTGAATCCTTAGCAACATTCCAAATAAAAAAATTTTAATGTCAACAATTAACATGGAGAGTAAGTGCTATTTTTGCAGCAGAAATGATATAAATACGGCTCAGACTCCCATAAAGTAACTTTTTAAATAATGCAATATGATAACAGTTTCAGATTATCTCTTCCCAGATTATATGTAAAAGTAGCTTCATCTTTCTTTGAGGAATATTTGGAGAAGTTTAATATAAGGACCAAATTATAAATACCAAGTAAATTAGATTCAAGTCAGGTCTTTAGGAATGGGAATATTATGTGCTATTTCTTAGCACATAAAGGGACTTTCAAGAGAAGGAATTGGTTTGAAAATTTTCATACTGTGCAAAAATATGTTTCTTTTTTACTGTCTGCATTACAGCCTGTTGAGACTAAATACAATCTAGTTTTCAGTATGAAATATGCCACAATACAGAAAATACAGATTTCTGATTCGAATTAACAGAGCTGTTAAGGAAGTATCCTGCAACGTGTGCTCCTCCATTGCTTTAATTAAGAAAATATACAGAAGGATCTTAATCATATGAAAATAATTGACGTAAAAGGAGTAAACACAGTGTTCTCAGAGCAGGGCAGATACTTATGTCACCTTCACTCTCTGCTCTGGCAACTGCCCAGAAACGCTACAGCTATTAATCATAGTGAGGTAAGAAATGACTTTGTGTTGAAACATGAGAATCTAGAAATATTCTTGGCAGTGACGTTTCTCTTTTACTAATTTGCTGTTAAGCTCAGTATTCAGAATACTTCTTCCACATTTTTTTGTCTTTGTTTATATAATTTACCATTTAAATATGTTGATTCAGAAAGGCTTCAGTAAAACTACACTTTCAGTAGATTCTAACTGATTTAGCTAAAATACCAAAGAACATTCAGTGCAAAATAGATTGGATGGCTTTTCTTCTCTATTTCTATAATCGTATTAAATCACTTGGGAACTGTGTTCATCAAAGAAAGAAATTCATAAAATCATTACCATATAAAATACTTGGGAAATCAGCAAACCATTACCACCATTTAGCAGTACTTTATCGACAGACTGAGGAAAACATTACCCTTTACATTATAAATTAAATGCTAAATACTGGAATTCAGAATAAAAGAATCCTTATTAATTGAGATAACAGAATAAAATTTTAAAATAAAAACCCTATCGTATTTTCATAAAATAGACATTGTGATTTTGGTTTTGGAAGCGTGCGAGTTATTCATTAGAAACCTCCGTTATTCCATTTCCTTCTGCAAAAGTTCTTTAATAATATTGCAGTAACGGCATTGACAGCAGCAAGAAGAGAGAACGCACGAGGTCTTGCTGGGGTGTTACGTGGCTGGCACAATCAAATCCATAATGCAGCACCAATATCAGGAGAACACGGTCAAAATTGAACAATGCTTTACAAACGTATAGATTTAGTCCTGAGTCCTCGGTAAAGCACTTCTAGAAGGACGACGGGGTTGTAACAGCAGCAAAATTAACAGCCTTTTCCACCAAGTACAGGAGGCTGCCTAATGCAAGAGCACATTGGTAACCTCCTGGAGTGATGAGAAGGCTGCAGCTGATTCAGAAAGGACACTCACTGGACAATTCAGCTATTTCAAGGGCTTCCCACACTAAGCCCACCAAAGCATGGAAAATTCACAGATTCTACAAACAGAGTTTCTCTTTCACCATCCTCTGCCAAAAATATCTTGCCTTGCCTTGCTCTGCTGCAGCCCTTATGAGGTGGAAAGTAGGAGGGCTGTGGAGAAATCATTCAGGTGCTGAGCAGGCAGAGGGCAGCTGTGACATACTGAAACAATGCACAGAACTTGGTTTGTTTTATTAAGGAAAGTTTCAGCCCCAAAATATTTCATTTTCAGAATGTTAAATTCTGAATTCTGGTCTGTGTTTTTATATTCAAGGAACACATCCTCCTACCAATACATCCCTCTACTTCTCACACTTTCTTTTCTTATCAGCAGTAGGAATAAATCCATACATTGTAAGCTCTAGTAACCCATTACTAGTTTCTGCAGAATACAGAGCATGGAATATAGATAAAGAAAACACATTACAAAAAGGTCATGCCATATCAATCTCCTTAGCTCTGAGCTGATCAACATGGAGCTGGTCAGCATATAAACTGATGGATACGTGACGCTAAGCTCCACAGAACATCTAGAATGTAAATACTGCGACAGTATTTTCATAGTACCAGTCAAATATGATGTGATACTGTTAGAAATTAATATTCTAGCCCAAAACTGAAAGTAGCTATTTGTGTAACTAATTTGGAAATGAGGACTACGTTCTAGAATATGGTGTTTTTGAATGGCATCACGGCTAAGGAGTTGAAACAAAGGAGAAAGTAGAATGTAAAACTAAGTATTTGGGTTTTTTTATTAAATAATCAAAAAGATTAAGGCCTCTCCTGGCTGAAAACCTTACTCACATGTAGCAACATTAATGTCTCTAAAATTACCAACAGAGAAATCGGTGTGAGAAACTGGAAACAGGTACGGAGCTGCTCACTAAATGCAGTTGGCTTAGAAATGAATAGAGAAGATGGACTTCACAGTCAGAATTACTTCAAGAGTTCAGTTCCTCCAGAGGCATCATATTGGTTCAAAGTAAACTTGACTTTGCAGACACTTTAAACTGTTTCAGATCCCAAGCATCTTTAAAACCATTTTTGCTCACAACCCAACATGTTGAAAAGCAAATGAAAAAGCTTCTTGCAACACCTCTTCAGTGCTTCACCTATACACATGGGTGCTAATCACAATTTGCACTACAAAGGTCCCTCTGCACTGGTTTAAATACCTGCTATCACTGCAGCATACAAAAAAGGCAGCGTTGAGAACGAGTAGTCAAAAAAAACCTATTAACAGGCACTAAACCCTGCTGTGCACCACATTATACATACATGAAAAATACTCTTACCTTCTGTGCTTGTGCCCCGTATAGATCCCACTCACCAGTCACAAGCCTTGCTTTAACAGCTCCCAGGGACCCGGCAACCAAAGAAGAGCAACATACAAGCCTGGCGCACTTTTTCTTCATTGCTCTTCTCTGCCAGCTTAGTACAGCAACATTATGAAGGGAAACAAGTGGTTAATGCTGGAGCAAACAGGAAGAAAAGCAAGTGTGCAGACTGAGGTGGAGCAGGGAAGTACCAGGCAGCACTTGGATTAACTTACACTGTCAACTAACAAGTCTTAAGTATCTGAGAAGAACACCTAGCTTTGTTTTTTGTTGGGTCTTTTTCTTGGTTTTGTTATGCCAGAGCTTGGTCAGGCACAGGGTTGGTTGGCGTTATGGATGGGCTTTACTTCAGGTAGTTAACAGTGTACAGATAGTACTTCAGGTGTGGAAACTGTGGAACCAGCACCTCAAACATACCTAAACCCCCATGAAGGTCTTTAATGGACTAGGTGGGTCTGCTACAGATCACACACATACAGTGCAATTTTGGATTCCTGCCCAAACCCACTAAGTTTGGCAACTAGAAGAAAGTTAAACGATAAATTCATTCGTTAGTGTCAAGAAAAAAAAAAAATCATTATATGTGGAAGGATAAATCTAAGTACAAATAGTTCAAGTTTCACAAAGCGCCAGAATGAAAAGGTTCTCTTGCTTCAGCTGTGAAACTTATCGTCCGCACATGCGCTCTGCCCTAGGCCGTGAACCTAACGTGCTGTTCCATGTCAGGACTACCTCACCTGAGAACACTCACTAGTTTCACACAGAAGACCGTCACTGTTCAGAAATGTTTTAGGTGGCATCCACCGATGCCCAAAATCTCTTGCTTGTTATCAAAAGGGAATTTTTCCCCACAAAATCAAAATACCAAGTTATTTTCACGCACAAGCTTTTATCAAAACCGGGCCGTTACACATTATATTTCTATCAGTGAGACTGAGGAAAATGCTATTTTTCCCGTATCATTCTCCAAAGAGTAGCATGCAACAGAAAAGTCTTAGAATGTAGGTTTTTTTTTCAAACTTTTATTCAACAACTTGATTGCAGAAAATGGACAGGATGGAACAAAAGCTTACATTAAATACTATACTATACAAAAATATTAACATTTTTGAGGAGCTAGTTCCCAAATATGCTCATTTTTTATATCCTCAGCCATCTGCACCGCAGCTCCTAGAACAATGTAAGAATAGCTGAAGGTTTTCTTGACAACATGTGAGAACTGCAGCCCCTGACAGGCTTCTGCTCAGCAGGATTTGGCAAAATGAAAGTGTCAACTATTTATGCTGTAATTAAAAAAAAAAAAAAAAAAAAGATTACAAATGAAAAAAATCAAGTACAACAAATACCCTTCTCTTAATAACAGATGAGCCCACAATCCCAGAGCACACACTTCAGAAGACACAAAACATGGTTTTCTGCTCTTGAAATATACCTTGTGAAAAATGCTATTGATGACCTGCAGGCAAATATATCTCAAAACAGATTACCCTAGGAAGTTTCAACTGCAATCTTTGAGTAAAAGTCTTCAGACAGATTCAGTAGCTTCAGCCCAGAATCAGCAATCACCAAGCTCCTCTACAGTCCATTGCTGCCATTTTTAATGCAGGTGTTATGACAGGTTGGACTCCTCCTCTCTCCAATCTATGTTTTTATAGAGCTGTATCAGTTTATGGAATAGGAATTTATTAGAGCTATCAAAGGTCAACCTAAGGAGGAGGATCTTCTCCTCGAATAGCTTTGTACTTTGCCATGTCTTCTGGGAACACCTTTGTCAGTTCTTGGATTAACAGGCTTTTAAATTTCTGGAAAAAGAAAAAAAAATTATCTAAACAAGTTGTACAGATGAAATATATTTCACCAAGCATCCCGATTAAAAAAAAAAAAAAAAAAAAAAAAAAATCAAACCCACACAAGCATAGGAAGTTACATTTACAAAATTCAGAGAAAATGCTCAAGTGAAATCTGCCAGGAATGCACGAGCAAAACTAAAATGCTTTGAATTCTCCATGAATTAACCAGCATTCTCACCTAAGAAATACAAAGCAATTGGGTCTCCCTGGTAAACTCTGGTGTATCAGTATCTGTCTGACCTTACTAAGCAAAGCTGATAATGGACACGTTCTCTTGATTTGGTAAGGAATCTGCTCCACCTTCAAACAGGAACTCACACCTGGCTTAGAAATACATAATTCTTCCTACAACTTTTGTAAGCAGAGGGCATATCAAAAGAAAGAGAAGTTTACAACATGGAGACAGGTCTACGCTGTGTAGCACAAAGTGCCATCCTCCACACTCATTTTAAGTTCAGCCAAAGATCGTTCATAAACACAAACAGCCCTTTCTCATATCTCACTAAGCTTCCTTTTCTGTTTTTCAGCTGTGATTCCAGCAGTTAAGCAGTACAGCAGAATACTTAGGTTCATACTAGATAAAAGTAAAGGTTGAGAAAAAACTAAACACTGGCATACATTCTAAGAAATTACAGATTAGCCCATGCTTATATAGAACATTTGACATTTTAAGACTCAAAGATCCACTCAAGACTGGAAAAATACCCCTTCTGTTGTCCTTACTTCTAAGTCTGCACATGTCACAATTACAGATTGGTAACAGTGTGAGGTACTCATTAGTATCCAAAATGAAAACAACAACAAAAATCTATAATGCTGTATACAACTTCAACCGAAAGAAAATCATAGCAGCATCTGCTTCTCCACTTACGGGATGAATTACAAGTTTCTTTTTCAGAATGGGCTACATTAGCATCAATTAAGACACAGGGATGCAGAGTAATTCCTAATACAAATCACCTCACAATGAAATTTAATAGGTGTGTAAAAGAACTCCCCCTCATATTTACAGAAAAGTAAAAAAACTTGTCAAATACATTAGCACTTTCATTATTTCTGGTTTACCTTCATTGTGTCAATTTTTCCTTTTACTTGCTCATTTTTAGCCAAAGCTCGCTCCAGGCACTCTTTAGTGTAAAGCTGAGGATTGCGGCCTTGATCTATGTATCTGAAAACAGAAAAGATACCACCTACACGATTGTATTCCCAGCAGAAATACCTAGTACCTCTCCAAGGAACAGGATTATTCAACTTGTTCCCTTTTTGTTACCACTATGATCTGAAACGCGATATTTAAAAACACAGTTTAACGAGGCCATTTTAAAAAAGACAGCCCAAGGAGACTAGGCTTTTTCTTTGAGAAAATTATTAAAACCAAACAAAAAATGTTAACTACCCAGCTTCTCACTGGCAACAAGTACACATAAATGAAGAAAGCTGATCCTTCTCCAAGAAACTGAAAAGGCACTAACCGTAAAGTGGCTTAGTTAGTACACAGTGAGCAAAAAGCACACCAGAAGGCGGCAGCCAGCAGTTCAAGGATAAGGAGTAAGTGTACATATCACAGTAAAAGCTACAAATGAACAGACCTCCATCAGCAAACCTATCAGTGTATTTTCACTCTGCAGTAAGTGCCTGGCAAAGGGAAATTCCATAACCAAATAAAGAAAACACAACATTTAAGATCGTCATCAGAGATTTATAGATAAGAGTGAAAACTCAACTGAAAAAATGTTCTGTATAGCCAGTAATACAGTAGAATATAGCAAACCAGTGACACCTGGACTTGCTAGAAAGACTAACAAATTGTCAGCTCTGTCATAAATGCTGTCTTATATAGCTCTCCCTCTATATTCATGGGTTTACTTTTAATGTTCTAATTCTTTGTCAATATGACTGCCACTACTAAACACCTAAGTGTTAGCCTAATTTATTCTAAGCTGCAACTTTAAATCCTGATTTTAACCTAGTGTAAGTCTATTTCCAAAATGAAAGCTTAGATTAGGCAGAATCTGTATTACTGCCTACATATGCAAAGTCAATATAAATTAAAAAGAGGTGAAACAACAATAAAAAAGGAGATCTGGAAGCAGGTCTATAATACTACTTTTCTTGTCCTTCCATCTTCTCACAGCCTGAAAGTGCTTCTTAATTTCTTCTGCCTACTCGCATTCTTGTGTGGCATTCAGAAAATGGGATTTAAGAAACAAGCAGTCCTCAGGGAAAATACTCATTCTGCAAAAACACACTACCTCAAATCACACAAAATACAGCACCTTCCCTTCCAGGTACAAAGTTACTTACAGATGCACAAAATGCACTGGGTTGGAAGGGACCTTTAAAGTTCATCTAGCTCAACCCCCCCACAGTGAGCAGGGACATCTTAATCAGACCAGGTTGCTCAGAGCTCCATCAAGCCTGACCTTGCACGTGTCCAGGGACGGAGCTTCCACCACCTCTCCGGGCAATCTGTTCCAGTGTTTTACCATCCTCATTGTAAAGAACTTTTCTTTATATAGAGTACTTACTCAAAAACTTCCAAGGGCACACTAATATCGTGAAGCTGCTGCCGGCATTTGTCGATATCCTGCAAGCCCGTCACCATGAAATTCCTGCAAGAAGAAAAACGGATGGGTTTTAGTTAAAATCGGGTCATTTTTAGCCCAAACCCGTTTCGCTACGACGGGAGGGAGATGGATCCACCTGCCGGGGCCCATCGGCCCGTGAGGCACCAGTCAGGCGGGGGGCGGGGAGCAAAGGTCCCCGGCGCCCGGACCCAGTAACGGAAGAGTTTTGAGCCCAGCTCACAATTTCTGGTTGAGGCCAACTTGGCTGCTGGGCTGGAAATCGCTGACGATAATGCCGAGCTGACGGATGTTCTCCACAAACTTCTCCAGGTGCTCCTCCAGCGAGTCGAACTTCTCCGCCATTGCCACCGCCTCCGCCCCCTAGACTTCCGGCTTCCGGCCGTCACTACGGCGCATGCGCGGAAGGAAGAAGAGGCGAGAGGCGGGATAGCCCCGCCCCCAGTCAGACCACGCCCCTTCTCTCGCAAGCCACGCCCCCGCGGCCCCGCACCTCCCCAGCTTCCCGCGCTGGGCCGAGGCGGGAAGGGGTGGGACGCCGGGGTTTTGGTTTGGCCGCCAAAGTAAGCTCCGCCGTAATTACCCATCGTTACCAAAAATCTTATAATAAAAGTCTCTAAACCAAATGGTAGTTTAGAAAGCCGGCACTGGTTTATTAAAAAAGTTGCACAAGTCTGGATGCTAGGTGAAAGTAGCATGCTATATCGAAAAACTCCAGTATATTTATATTGTAACTTAATTAGTATAAACAGGCCTAATTTTACAGTCACTGATTAGTGATAGCCATTCCATCTCTTATTGGTTAAGTCTATTTAAGTTAGCCTTGCTCCTCGTGTAACTTAGCAGGCCTGCTCCTTGCAGGTGCTGGGTGGTTGTGACCTCCCACTGCCACACCTTCACCTCTGGCTGACTTCCAGCCTTTCGCAACAACTCGTGGTGTTTTTGCACCCCCTAATCCCCAAGTGAATACTTTTTACTTAAGGAGGCTCTGGCTTTGCTCTGGTTCAAAACACACAAGGACGAACAGCTGACTAAAACTCTCTAAATAACGGCCTGCTTATTATCTCGAGGTACAGACTATCTTACTATCTTTTCTACTCATTGGCTCAAAGATTTGATTGTTGCCTTTCAGAAGCAGTCTTTGAAGGACTGGTTTACCACTCTTAAGGCAGTAAAGATTGTTTTGCCATCCTTAAGGCAACACAGTCGGTAGATACTCTCAGCCCACACCTGATCCCGCTCACCAAACGAGCCCTCAGATTTCCCTTTTGTCTGGAAATACACACCAGCAGTTCAGGATACCTGGATTTCAATCTGGTTTGGGGGGTTTTGTGTGTTTTTTTTTTAATCCACAAGGATCAGAACCTACAGAAAGCCTTGTCCAGAGGCTAGGAGATATTTGGCAGTGGGGTCTGATCAGTCCCTGTGGCTGTTCTACCTAGTGACAAAATTAAGTATTGCTTGAGCAATGGGAAGGCAGGCTTTGGCATAGCACACATAAAGGCATGGAAGAACCAGTGACTGATTATCTGATAAGAGCTTATTATCTTCCCCACCTGTCTTGTATCTTACTAGTTATAAGTGTTTTTCTAAACTGTGTAAGAAATCGAAGTGCTAACAGCCAGAGGTTTGCTTGATAATAAAAACCACAATGGAATTATCTGGGGAATGACAAATTACATTAAATAATCCAGCTATCATTTACCCTGTGGGAAAATTATCTGATGTGCTTAAATTCCCATGGCACATCACAATAACTGTATGTTTTATAAATAGCTTGCTTCCAGGATGTCTGTTTTCAGTTGGATCTGAGATGATCAGTCCAGTAATGTCAGCAGATAAGAATCTGATGCTTTGATTCACAATGAAAGATTTGAATGAATGTTTGAAATAAGAACTGAACTAAAATAGAAATTATAAACAACAGATTTAATGTATTTTATGCATGTGTAGCTATAACTTCTGACCATTTTTATTCCACAGTGAGAGCCATCAAAATTCTTTGATGTATCTTTTTATTAGTTATATTGTTCTCAATCAGTCAATAAGTACACAGAGACAGAAAGATTTAGAGAGAACATTTAGTGGTTTATGATGTTAGTAACCACATTGCACTGCTGCCCCGATTTTCATGCAGAATGTTGTCAATTACTGGCTTGTTGGCTGGACATCTGCACTGGACAGTTGAGTTTGCAGTAAAGGACAGAATGAGGGGCTATGTGGAGCAGTATGAGCCATTTGGGAAGAATAGCACAGATTACATAAACGAAAAATCCTATTTTGTTAACCTCTAATGAATTTTTCAAGGGGTCAGCAAGCACGTAGGAGAGAGTGACCTAACTGATACAATCTTCTTGAACTTCCCATCAGCTTTTGTTAAAATCCTTGACCAAAGTCTTTTAAGGAACTAAAGCAATGGAATAAGGGGAGAAATCCTAGGCTGAATAAAGAACTGTTTGTCAGATAGGAAATGCACATTTAATTTTTACAGGGCATAATCATTCCCAGAGGAGTTCTACCGGGAACTGGGCTGAAAATTGTGCCATTCGATGAATTGACAGATGACCCAGAAAAGAGATTGGATGGTGCAATGAGAAAATTGGCTTATGAGGAAGTCATTTGGCGGAGTAAAGATGAATAAATGTTGTAGGTAACTGCAGAAGGACCTGAAAAGGCTTGGTGCCTGGGCAACAAAGTGCCGGAAGAAATTCAGACAGATAATGTAAAGCGATGCACAAAGCAAACGAAAAAATCCTAGTTTCACATGAAGATTTATGGCCTCTTGACCATTACCATACAGGAGCAAGACTTGAGGGTCACAACAGAAAGTTCCCTGGAAACATCAGCTCAGTACTCAGCAAAAATCACATGGAGAGTTAGGAATTGTTAGGAGAGGAATTTGAGAACCAAACAGAAAATGTTGTTGTGCTACTCCATAAATCCAGAGTTCACCTCAACCTTGAATGTTGTCTGCATTTGCCTAGAATAGACTTGGAAAAGAGACAGAGAAGGGCTGCCAAGATGACTGTAGGTGTGAAATGGCTTCTGCACTAGGAAAGCATGAATAGATAGAGACTCTTCAGGTTGAGAGAGAGCTCACTTAGGAGAGCTATGGCTGATACTTCACTGTATCTACAAAGCCATGAGTGGTCTGGAGCCTCGACCTTCTTCCAGCACAAAAACTAGCGGACATCAAATTAAAATCAACAGGAGACAGTTTCGAAACAGGCAAAAAGAGGTGATTTTTGTCATGTAAGGTTTAGCAGCCTTGTGGGATTATTTGCCAATGCATGTTATGGATAGCAAAAGCTTCACTGGACTGAAGGGGAAATGGAACAAATGCTTGGTAGAAGGAGTCAGGTAGATAAACCACACCTGGCTCAGGAAATCCCATGAACCGAAGGTAGTCCAAGACCAGGAGAGTAGTCAAGAGTGGTTTCATAGATTTTTTTCTTGTCCTCACTGTTTGGCATTTGCTTCTGGTTACTGCTGAGCACAGGATACTGGCCCAGGTGGAGCCTTTATCTGCAATCTCATAATCTGCTCGCAGTGCCAAGTCATGGATCTTTGTACATTCTCCCAGGTCCATTCGTGTTCCAGCCAGCATATCATGAGGACAGCAATCCAGAAGGTGGCTCTTGCAAACACGATCGTCTGTAAACTTCACCCTTTGTCTGGTTTCATCTCCGTCCCGGGCCGTGCCCATGAGCTGGTCCAGCAGGGCCCGCATCTGCGCCTGGGCCGACATGGCGAGCGCCATGGTTACTGTTATGAGGTCCTGCCTGCCTGAATTGTCAAAGAATGGTCTGTGCTGTGCGGGATGTAGACAGGTTTCATAGTGATTTCTTAGCAAGCAGAGCATAAACAGGTTGATTGGAGACTGTTTACATGGCCTTCAGGTCTGGAAAATGCTCAGCTCACTGTTTTCCTAGATATACTCCAGAAAAATTACTTTTCAAGTATAATATGGCACAATGCGGTGTTTAAGATAAATTACTGGAAGTGCTGGTACAGTCACTATTTCTTCTCAGAAATACAAAAAGTGGCAAATAATTCATCTGTTTTTCCATCTCTGGAAATGTGATTCTTCTCCCAATTCATTTTCTGCTGCTGTCCAATAACATAGAAGAAGTGAATAAAGAAAATAAACCACACTGTGTTTCAGTGCTGTATGTTTTCTCTCTTCTTCACTTTCTGTCTTTGACTTTGTGACTATTTTTTTCTGCATGATTGTATCTAGTGCACCAGTCACTTCTTCCTCATTCTGCAGACCCAGAAATTGAGGTTGAAATTTCAGGTCATTAACAAGAAGCATCACCTGCCTAAGAATTCCATTTTATGAGCCACATACCCTTCTTTGTTTTAATTACAACAGGTGATAAGCAGAAGAGAAGTGGGGAAGACAGATGGTGAGCAGCGCAGAGAATTCCACTTACCTGCTCTTGATACATCAGGCTAATGGTATTTAAGTTCAGGATGTTTTTCAACTCACTCAGACACATGCTGTATTTTCACATTTTAGTGCATAAAAATAATGTGATACAATAATTATTTTTTTTCAAATACCTTTATTCAAGATAAGAGATGTAATTATAGTTTCCATACAGATTTGGTATTTAGCAACTTGCTCATTAATTACTTGAAATAATACATGTCTTACCACAAATTAGCAGGATGATGCACTTACACATCATGGCTGGACCTTAGTCTTACTGAAATCATCTAAATTTATTTATCTAAGAAGCAGCAGGATTAGGATTTTGTTCATATGATAATAATCTTTTGCTCTTCCAAGTCCTGTAGATCTTGAGATGTTCTGGGACCCAATCCAAAGATAACTGAGCCCCATAAGACTCTTCCTATTGATGGTAAAGGATATTGGATGACAGAGTCTGTTCTCACAACTCTGTCTCCAAGGAGGTCTGCAAGACTCAGCAAAGGGCATATGTTTCAGGACAGGAATATTATTTTCATAGTGTAGCGAACAATTCATCTAGAACTGCAATACTGAAAACTTTTCTTTCATAGTACCCATTATATCCCATACAGAATTAATTCTTAATTTGGTTTTCAAAATATATGCTGAGAAATCAGTGGAATCAGTGGAATTATCTGGGATTTTCCCCTGGAGCAAATCTTACTCATCAGACTGAGTTTATATTGTATCCATATTGCTGCCACATGTCATTTAAAGCAAAGTTAAGATCTCTTCTTCTGAAATGCAGAGTTGCTTTCAATATTTATTAAGCAGCCTCATGTGACCCGCTCGGTCCCCAGGTGTTGCCTGGTCTAGTCGAGAGGTGGCGTCCCTGCCCATGGCAGGGAGGTTGGACTAGATGATCTCT